AAACTTTGGAATATTACTAATTTTGTGATGCTCTTTCAAGCTGTGATGAAATTTTTGTCTAGATCAAAATTTAGTCTATAATGCAAATGGTCCATTCAAACAACGTGAAAAACGACTTTTAAAAGTTGTAACTGTAAATTTATCATTATACAAACAACTACAATACTAAAACGTCGCATTTTGCACCCATATTGATCGCTTACTCTCAAGATAAAAAATTATTGTGTCCCCTCTCTTCAGTGACGTAACATTTATGTCCTCAATAATCCGAGATGGCGAACAGCTCACTTTTTTCAGTTGAAATATTTTGAAAACTATAAGCAAGATATAAAAAATCTGTAATAGAGTTTAATATATAGTTTTAAGAGTTCTTTCAAATGAACTAAACTATTTTTTATTTTCAATGTCCTTCAAGGAACTAGACTCAGTTCCGAAATATTACGTACTCGAAGCGACCTGACCGCGTAGCTCAGTTGACAGAGCATTGGGCTAGTATTCCAAAGGTCGTAGGTTCGATTCCCACCGTGGCCAGGCATATTTTTCAAGCCTGCCCGGTGTGGATATACACTCAAGAGTAGGGTTGGGCGATATTTCGATATTTTGATTTATCGTGATATTTTCAATCGCGATTATCGTATCGAAGGTAGAAACTTGAGCGACGATATATCGAAATTATCGTCATGCTCGATGACTATCGTGATATTGCTTCGCATGTGTATATAGCTGTTATAAAATCCTAAAAAAATTCCTTCAATTTCTAGAAAATATAGTTTTTAAAAAAATTAAAACTATTTCCTGAATTAAGTACGAATTTAATACGATATAAAAGCTAATATTTATGTATTAATTCGCTGAACAATGAAATTGCCTGCTATGCTTGCGCCTGTGTGCCCACGGCATTTGTGCCCGCGGAGATACAGTAAACACCGCATAGACAGTTGAGGTATAAGAACAGTAAATATTAGACAAGAAAAAGCCTTCTTATTACTTTGATTTGTTGTTTTACTTGTCATTGTTTTTATTGCATTTATCGCGATATTATCGAATATCGCGATAATTTCCTCCACAATAATCGTGAGATGATTTTTCTAATATCGCCCAACCCTACTCAAGAGTAACATCACAAGCATCTTATTCACCTGAGTACATTACACCATCACAGCAAATATCGTCTGATAATGTTATCAACGGTGATATTATTTCGACAACATATTTCAGTTTGCTCAGTGGAAGTGGCAGTTCGGATTCCCGTGAATCTTCTGAAGAAGAGATCGATCAGAGAAGATTGGAACTTGAAACGAACCAAGAAAACAACATCAAAAGATTGGTTATCATGGCGCGATATCTTCTCCGTGTTGTGGGGGATCACGTCAAAGTTTTAGTCCTCGGCTGTTGTCCAGGACTAACAAATGGTTTGGTGAGATTTTTGAACTTCCCGTGTTGCTCTGGGAAGAACGTTGTCTGTTATTTCTTCTCGTTTTGTGATCTTATCTTAGTGCCGTTGCACTTTGTTGTGCTATTATAAATCGCGAGATTGAGCAAGCCACGTTTTTGTCAACGTTTTTGTCCTAGGATTCGTGTGAGATGTCATTTCAAATCCTCCAATAGACAACTTGCATGTTAGACAAATTTTTGATTTAGGCAAAAAAAAGTAAATCCTCGTAAAGAACTTATTAAAATCAGTAAAATTGCAAAATTTGGTTGCGAAATGTTGTAAAATGCAGAAAATATAGCCTTGCGAAGTTTGCAATTTTCAGTCATTTTGTATTACGTGCGAAAATTGTTACCATTTTCGAGCCGAAAATATGCAAACTTCGCAAGGCTATATTTTCTGCATTTTACAACATTTCGCAACCAAATTTTGCAATTTTACTAATTTCATTATTTTCTTTTTAACTGTTGTGTTTTATTCCCTTCTTTTTACTTAGATTAAAATTTAGTCTAACATGCAAGTTGTCCATTCGGACTGGACTAGATTTCAAGTCCTCGCATTTTGATCCGATTCGAAATATTGCACATCGCATTGCGTTTGGACTGGACGCTTAAGGCCCAGACACACCGGACGCGATTCGACAACGCGACGCGATTTTTAGTTTTTGAAAGTTAATAAAACAGCCAATGAGAGCAAATTTTGAAAGATATATAGACCAAATAACTCAAAATGTTATAGCGTTTCTAAATATTTGGAAAATTTAAACTAGTAATGAAAGTTATCGGTCAGTGAAAATCGAAAAATTTCGTCGCGTTGTCGAATCGGTTCCGGTGTGTCTGGACCTTAAGGCTCGGGATTCTTGATAAACTATTGGAATTTCAATTTAGGTGTACAAAATGCTGTCGTACTGCAAGAATTTGGAACATCTTGACCTATCTCAAAACATTATTTCAGATCTGGGATTAAACGGGTAAGATTTTTTACCTCGTTGGATCCTTGAATGAGTCCTAAGGAAACCTTGCAATTTTAAGACTTGTTTTACAAGTAAACTACGTGAAGCGTTCCTCTTTTAAGTTCCTAACTTGATTGCAAATTTCCTCATTACCTTAGCAAATTTGAAAAACTCCCTTGCAAATCCCTTGAGGGAATTTGCAATGTTCTTTAGGGCCAAATAAATTTTCCTCAGTTCCTGTTAGAAGTTCTTAACTTCCTGTTACAAGTTCCTAACTTCCTGTTCTGTTCTGCGCGTTGTAATTGGCTAACAAAAATAATCTGCCAATGATAACGCTCAGAACAGAACAGGAAGTCAGGAAATTAAAGCAGGAAGTTAGGAAAATTTGAAAGGAACTTTATTTGTGTTGGAATATTGCAACGGCCGACAGGAAAATTGCAAATTCCCTCAAGGATTTGCAAAGCGTTTTTCAAATTTGCAAAACTGATTATGAAAATTCCAAATGAGTTAGGAACTCAAAAGAGGAACGCTTCACGTAGTTTACCTGTAATTAAGTAAAAATTCCACTATTTACAAAATTCCACCACTTTTACGTTACATGAAATCATGGATAATAAAATAAATGGATAGGAAACTAGCTGACGTGACCTGATGTTTTCAATGGTCAGCACTTGTTTCCAACCACCAAACTGACATGACGTCATTTTCAGAAGATTGAAGAGGTGTTAAATGGCTATGTAACTAGCCCAAACCCTACCCCTACTCTAACCCCTAACCCTAACCGCAACCCTAACTCTAACCCTAACCAAATTAATTAAAAAATCCAAAAAGAAACAACTTTAGAAATTGATCAAATGACGTAATGTCAGTTTGGTAGATGGAAACAAGTGAAAACCGTTTTCAATGGGCTGATGGCGTGATTGGATGTTGAAACCTAGTTGCAAACCAAATTCTCAAAAACGGCATGTTTAGCAATAATACAGCTAAACATTTTAGTCAACGAGCAAATGAATAGAACTACGCCATTCTACGATGAAATCTCTAAGTATTCCCAGTCAATTTTAGCAAACATTTCAAGCACTAAACAGTGAAAAATGCATCCCAAATTTCGTTAAAATTAGGGACGCCAATTTCGTAGCTACAAATGTAAAAAAATGCAAAACAAAGACGAAAAACATTTACCTTGAATACTTTGTCGTGGCTTAGGCATGTTTTTAAAACAATTAGACCAGTTTATGCTTCAATATTACTCTTTTAATGCGGAAAGTATAGCGAAACAACAAAAATGCCGAGAACTTTGCAATACGCGTGACGTCACAGATTGCAACTAGGTTGTTTTTGCTTACGTCAGCTAGAGTCCTATACATTTATTTTATTATCCATGATGAAATCAAACAGTGTCCAGTTTTTTTTTTTGGGGGGGGGGCACCCGGTAGAATAGTCCGTGATTTCTGACCACGAAGAGTAAGCCAATCACAATATTTTGCTTTTGTATATTACAGATTGTTTCGAAAAAATGGCGGTAGAAATTTGCGACGTCTGGACTTATCGGGCTGTGCAAAAATCACCGACAAAACTTTGAAAAAACTTTCTGTCGCACTCACCCCCCGGGTTACGAATGACCGCGCCAGTAGCGGTGGGTCTGGTGACGAACACAGTGATTGCTGTCAGGATGAACTGATCTCTGTAACTCATGGACTGCGATATCTCTCGCTGTCCGGATGTTACCAGATTACCGACGAGGGAATAAGGTAGGATTATTCGATGATGTAATTTTTCTTCAGAGAGGATTTTTGAAGTACTAGGCCGTGGGCCGTTGTGCGAAAAAGTGCTTAGAAAAGCAATTTCGTGGCAACCCCCCGGGGAATAGATTTTCTGTTCTTCAATTCATAGTACCATAGATGCTCAATTACCACAAAAAGTTCCCAAGCAAAAAACTTGCCAAACACCGAGAAAATGGGTGATCAGTGATTATCCTCTATTAAATTGTATTACAGCAAAAAAATGTGAAATTTTTTATTCAATTACAACAAAAATGACTGGCATCATCGGAAAGCTTACAAAAATCTGCATATAAGACAATTAAACAGTTTTTTTATATCCCAAATTGTTTTCGAGTTATATGCTGTCAAAAACGCGTTTTTGACCTAGTACCCAGTCCTTACTGCGACATTTTGGTCCAATTTTCACATTCAAAACAACAATAAATAAAAAATGTCCTATATGCGGTTTTTGTAAGCTTTCTGATGATGCAAGTCATTTTTGTTGTAATTGAATACAAAATTTCACATTTTCTTGCTGTAATACAATTTAATAGAGGATAATCACTGATCACCCATTTTCTCGGTGTTTGGCAAGTTTTTAGCTTGGGAACTTTTTGTGGTAATCGAGCTTCTATGGTACTATGCATTGAACCACAGAAAATCTATTCCTCAGGGTGTTGCCACGGACCGAAATAATTTTGGCCAATGGCCCACGGCCTATACTATTTAAAACACAAGCAGGAGTGCTTTATCAGATATAGAACACGAGAGCGCGGCTCCAATGTTTGTATAATATCTGATAATGCACGGACTGCGAGTGTTTTAAATGGCTTAAAAAACGACCCATCTGATGAGTTCACTGGCGAAGTAATTTTACAAATAAACGTTTTCTAGGCCGACAAAAGCAAAGCTAAAGTTTATGTAAATGAACATGATTTTTTTATCAGGGATGGATCCAGCACGATCTGGTCGGGGGGGGGGGGGGGGG